TCGTAACCCGAAAAATTCGCAAGCAGAGGCGTTCGTATCCCGAGGTATCACTGTATATTCAATTAAAGCGCTTCATTTCACAATTTGGTCTAGGAACATTAGCATGATATAAAGTTCTACTATTAGCATTTACATGTGTTTTGGATCATTCTAGATTTACTAACTAATCTAGAATGGACTGTTTCAAATCCATAGACAATTAAAAAGAGTATTGCTAGGGTGGATGTTAGCTACTTCCAAAAAAACTGAAGAAAGTTGGAATACCCTGTATTAGCAAGTTAATGCTTAATGGCCTTAAAGAATATTAAGTATGACTCTTATGAACTTAAAAGGAGATTAATTCAACAAAACCCCTTTTATTTTACCGGTCACATCAGAGAATGTTTAAAAGGTTGCTTGTCAACCTCAGAATGCAGGAAATATAAAATGATGGAGGGAGCACTTACCAAATGACCTGGACTTCTCCCACTATTGTCCTGTTTTGGTTTAATGTCCATAGATTTGTTAACATAGTTTTAAGAGGAGTAATATGGTTGAGAAAGAGCCAATGTAGTGTAGTGGTTAAGATGTTGAACCTGCACCAATGATGCCAGGTTCAAATCCATACCCACTGTAACTCTTTTCCAGCCTAACTTGTCCCACAGGGGTGTTGGGGGAAAAGAGAGTTCATGTATGTTGTCTTGAGCTCCCAAATAGATAATGTGAATGTGATTTTGAATTGTACACCAATCAAGCATGGGGTACAGCAAAATTATTCTTTTACCATAGAAAAATAACACTACTCCAGATGCATAATCTTGGACTGATTGTATCTGTTCATTCTCTGCTTATGAACTGGCTGTGAATTGATATAATGAAAGATGACCAACAGTATTCTGTGTTTAATGCTGTCTAACAGCTGAGTTGCTTCCCATATGTATTATAATACGCTCTTGCTCTTTTTTCTTTCCCTCTTTATATGTTTTTTCCTCTTTCATTCTGTATACCAAAGGAATAAAAATAAATCTAGAAGTCATACACTAATGAAAACATTCAAAAGTCTACAGTATATGCGTACTTTAATTCATCACAGCAGAGCATTTCGCATGTAAGGGCAAAGTTCACATGGAACATATTTAAGTTTTCAGTTTTATTTTTAGGAGCAACTTGAAGCTGTGGGATCAATTTATAATTACAGGTAATCCTCAACTTATGACCATTCATTCAGCAACCATTTGAAGTTACAGTGGTTCTGAATGGATTTATGACCTGTGCCCAAAGTTACAGCTGTTGCAGCACCCCTGAAGTCACGTGATCAAAATTTGGGCGCTTGGCAGCCCACTCGCATTTATGACCACAGGGGCACTTCCACCCCCCCACCTGCCAATCTCCCCCCCAATCTCTGCCCCTTTGGCCACCCCGCACCTTGCCTTGCAAGCATTCGTCGGAGAAGCTGAGTCAACCCCCAGTGCTTTCCCATTGGGTTACCTGCTTCCAGCCTTCCCCAGTGGCTAGCATTATTTGAGTTCATAGGAGAAACTGAACCATGACTGCTTTTCACTTTTTTTTTGCAGCATGAAAAGGCACCAAAGAGCATTTGTCTTGGGAAGCATCTAGCAGGAGTTGAATATGCACCCAAGCATGGCCTTTAAAGACAAGCACTCTCCCCTTGCACAGGGAGATAAAGAAGGCGGTGGCAGTCCCTGAAGAAACAGAACCATATGTGGGAGATGCGTTTGCTCTGCTAGCAATCCCCGTTTCCATGCTTGTTGGCTGCAAGGAACCCAAAGCCTGAACCCTCTTCCAGGTCTTTCTTCCAAATTGGAGGGTTGGATGGAGGGGAGGAAGCATGGAGCTTGGGCTTCTATTCAGTTTGCCTCATTGCTTCGAGTCTTCCTTTGGAACCAGATGCTTTTAATGGGGAAGCCATTGCCTGCAGACTTAGACTAACAATAAGGTTGGAGGGGGGTACTGCTGCTTTTATCCTGGAAAAACCCAACAGGTGAATGAGGGTTGGGAACAGGTGAGGAGGCGCAGGGAGGAGCGGGGTGGCAAAGTCAGACCCCAGTTTGGCTCAGTTCTGCTGGATCCTTTCCTTGCAATTCCTGGGCAGTTCTGAAATGAGATGGCTTTTTGACACGCCGCAGCTCAGGGGTTGCTTGCCGCCCCGCATGGCAGGGTGCAGAGTGGCCAAAAGGGCAGAGATGCAGGGGGGAGACAGTGGGTGGGAGGAGTTGGAGGCAGTCCCTTATCTTATTGAGGCTTGGGCTGGGAGGGACCAAGCCCAGAGTGGCTTGGATTGGGGTGGGTACTTGCTTAACGACAGCAACCGGGAGTGCCAGGATTGCTATCACTAAGCAATGCGGTCATGTGACATCTCGCTTTACAACCACATTGCTTAGTGACAAAAATTCTGCTCCCAATTGTGGTCATAAGTCAAGGACTACCTGTATGCAGGAATCTTAATTACAAAAGCAAGTTCAAGTAGACTGTTAATAAAACATGTTAGTAAATCATAGTAGAGTTCCACCTTCTTAACTTCTCTCTTTCTTCTTTCTCCCTTTCTTCTCTCCGTTTTAGACGTTCCTGATTTCGTTTCTCCTGTTTGTCAGCCACAATTCTCTGAAAAGCATTTTAGAAATAAATATAATTTTAAGATCAGCAATACCAAAAGTAATGAAATATTGAAATCTGAAATACTGAAACATTTTGTAAACCATTAAGAATATATACTTATAAAACATAGTTACTTTTCTTACCAATTAGGATTCTTATCTTAAAGTCCAGAGATAACAACATATTGATTTTAACCTTGATCAAATAAACCAACTTTATATTCCTTCCTTTTACTTTTAACAATCTTGATTTTTGTCCCTTCAAATAATGTCCTAGAACTTGATTTCTTTACATTTTTTCTTTGTCCCTTCTCATTAAATTCTTTAAAGCTTTAACAAGCCTCTTTTGTAAAACCAATGTAGGAAAATTATCCAGGTCACTCTCTTGGTTTGTTATTTGCATATTCCTTTTAACTGTTAAGACATCAGCCTGCTTCTTTTGTATGTCCAGTGTAGCATCTTTTTCCGTATCATTCTTGTAGTCTGTCATTTTTAAAGCCATTTTCAGATCAGTCCCAATATTGTCAGGTAAAACTTCTGGTTCCATTGTTCAAAAATATCCTTCAATATGTCCAATTTTAAAATATTTTGCTTCATTCTGTATTAGTAAGACAAATTTAAGTGTTCTTTTCCTTTAATTGTAATCTTTAGTTCCTTCTGGTTCCCTCTAGTGTCTAACCTTCAAAGTCTTATTCTATTATGTTTTTTTTAAGAGAATCCAAAATAAAAACATTTTCCCACAGGAAGGATTCTTATAATTAATTCCAAAACCTTATTTCAAATCCATATGGACCCTTAGTCTGTTTGTAACTTTCCAAAACCAAAGTTCTAATCACACTTTTGCTGTTTATTCCAAAAGAATTTTTTTTAAGTCCTTAAACTTGTATTTAAAACTTCTTTTGCTAAGGATTGAAAGAAACTCACCCAGTGCTGTAAAACTTGTT